TAAGATATTGAAGATAAGATCTGTCAGTTATACCTTTTGACCTTCAAAGCTACATCTTGGTAATTTCCCCACACTATGAGTTCCATCCTGAAGTAGACTCCAGAAAACTCACATCCCCAGACTAGCTCATTCTTTGGTTCAGGCATGTGCCCTTGGTTCTGCTCCACACTAAGGAGAGTTTTGAGGTGAGCAACAAAGAGGAAAAACCACAAACAGGTGATCAGTCTTCCAGCAAGACTGGTGGCAGTGACATTTGGTTCTTCTAGGGAGGAACCAAATAGAAAGTGTCTAGCATTGAGTCCCAGGAGTCAAGGGTTCCTATTAGCTGGGGTGGTACCGTGTCAGCAAAAGAAGACCCACCTGTGATTGGATATTGTTCCTATTTGCAGAACCCCAGAATCTGGCACACTGCCCTTCTCAAAGAGTCTATGATACACATGATACCTTTTAATGAGTCTCTTGTTTGTTCTAACTAACCAAGTAGATTCTTCTGGTGAAACTAAGAACAGTGACTAAATCAACTTGGCTAATTTAGAAAGAACAGGAAAAAAATACACTTGTAACTTATGATATAATTTTGCAATGTATGGATCCTCAATGAACCCAAACCCAAAGTTAAAAGGAAGAATTTTCATTTCATTCTTATACCTGTTCTTGAGGTGGTGACCTAAATTCCTTTGTTTTCCTGGCCGTGAGTGCTGCCGACATGTTTAAGGCTTGCATAACTTCATTATATCGGAAGCGTTGATTGTCTTGGAGCTTAGCTACAAAGTCATCTGAAAAGGCCACAATGGCTTCTATCCGGTGTCGGACCTGGCAGTCACAGAGGTATTGAAGTAGCAGGCACATCTAAGAGGACAATTAAAAAGACACCAAATTTAATTTCTGAATCTTTAAATAGATAATGTATATCATACCAAAATCTGAGGCAGACATGCTTAGTTGCCAACTCCTCTCTTGTATGAACAGAATCCTGATTTTGTGTCAGCAGTGATGTGTTTGTTCCCAGGGATGAAACATAATTTGTCTAAGCCAAAATGGCAAATACATGTCCTTTTGGTGCACACTTACTGTCTGGCCTACTCTGCAGCTAGAGGTGCTACAGCCAATGAGATATATAAGGAGAAGTTTACCAGGGGTCTTCTGGGAAAGATTTTCCATCATTAGCAACAGACTAGAACACCCTCTTTACAACATGAGTGTAACTCATAATGACGTGATCATTGGAGAAAGAATGAGGTAACACACCTCAGGATGAAAACCACAGACAGAGATTCACAGAAAAATATTAAGATCTGGGTTCCTGATGACCTCATTGAACTACCATAGGAATTCTAGAACTGTCCACCTCCAGAGTTTGCATGTAAGTTAATTAAGTGGTTTTACTCCTTATTCATTAAATGGTTAGCTAGGTATTCTCTTACTGGAAGTCAAAAGGATTTTTAACTGATATAGTACATCAGTAGAAACATGCCTACGAGAGAATGCTCTGCCCAAGTTTAGGAAAACCATTTAAATACACTTAATACCAATTGTGATATAAATTCGCGGCAGTGTTAAAACCCTGTATGTCACCATCCACAGGATAGCCATTTCTGTCAGTGCCAGCTCTGAAGTAGCTCAGCGTCCATCCCTTCTCTTCATCTCCTTCGCCCCACCCAGTGTAAGCAGGGTCCCCTCGGGTCTGGACCAGCGTGACAGCCTCCTGACTAAGGATTCTGGACCACTCTCCCTTTCCTCCCCCTATCTATTGTCCTCACAGCAGGAAAGAGATCTACTTTAAGATTTTTAGAATAAAATTCTCCTGCTAAGATTTTTCAATTGTTTTAATTGAACTTAGAATAAAATTCAAAATCCATCATACGGCTGGTTTTAGCAAAAGGCTAGATTCTGTATGAACTGCCTTCTGCCTCTCTCACTCTCTCTCCCCAGCTCATTAAGCTGCAGCTGCACTGGCCTTTTCCTGCCTCAAAATCTTTGTCATGCTATATGTTCTGTGCGAAAAGCTCCTGGAACACTCTCCCTGCTCCTTCTTCACACCTACTGGACTCCAGCTCACAAATCTGGCCTCACCTTGAAAGTCACTATCTCAGAGAGGCCTTCCCTCACATTTCTCACAGAAATCCAGTGCAATTTCTTTCTTCTAGTAATCCATTCTTTTCCTTCAGATCATGTAATGCAATTAGCAACAAGAAATTTTAAAAGAAATGCAAAATAAGAGTATATTTCTCCCAGAGACTATGAGCTTCTGGAAGACAGGGCCTACACCTGTTTCTTTCACCCAGTACCAAGTGCCTGGCTCAGTGGAAGACCTCAGGCAATGTAGACTGAGGAACGGAGGGCAAAAAAGCATGTCAATGATGCAAACATCAAATTGACTCTAATGAACCCAAGAAACGTTAAGAAAGGATCCTCAACACACCTTGATGAGCACGAAGACAGGCAATGTCTTTGATACCTTAGAAACATACATGCAGGAAGTAAAATCTTGCTGTGTCAGATTGGGGGCACCTACTGGTAAACAAGTGTTCTGAGGCTGGCAAGAATGGGGGGTGGGTAGAAAAGGGGTATGGAACGCCTTGTATTTCAGGCATTCCAACAAAATGTCAGTGAAATTCATCTGCAGAAACAAGAGGAGAGATACAAGGAAATTGCTACTAAATAAGAGGGAGAAGAAGAGCCGGTAGGGCAAAAGCCCATCTCCTCTGCTCCCTTCAGATGCATACACACACACATACACATACACATACACACATACACACATGGAAACAAAGAGTGACATGCCACACTTGCAGATGTGTATGACAGACAAACGTGTTTGACCAAGGAAACCACCTTGATACTAAATTTGTCCTTTATTAACTATTGTCAATTAACTGAATTGGAAAATTCATGAATTCCATTCCAAACGCAAGAGAATTAGACTGCGACATCCCAAAACACAACAGGAAGTTAGTTTTATGAAGAACTACCATTATACAGGAACACTAACAAATACAAATACACACACACACAGAAACAGAGACAAAGGTAAATTTCTCCCCCCCCCTTTTTTTTTTAGGTGAGGAAGATCAGCCCTGAGCTAACATCCATGCTAATCCTCCTCTTTTTGCTGAGGAAGACCAGCTCTGAGTTAACATCTATTGCCAATCCTCCTCCTTTTTTTCTTTTTTTTTCCCCAAAGCCCCAGTAGATAGCTGTATGTCATAGCTGCACATTCTTCTAGTTGCTGTATGTGGGACACGGCCTCAGCATGGCCGGAGAAGCTGTGCGTCGGTGCGTGCCCGGGATCCGAACCCGGGCCGCCAGTAGAGGAGCGCATGCACTTAACCGCTAAGCCACGGGGCCGGCCCCAAAGGCAAATTTCAATACCTTAATACTTAGCAATTCTGAAATTCACTACAATCTTTTTTTCTGATTACCTGCAATTTAACTGGCTCAGGCAGCTTCATTTGGAGCAGGCCTTCCTTGGGCCTCTTGCCCCCTTTGGCTTCTTCTTCACCAGCTCCTTCCAGCTTTGAGTCTTCTGCACAGGGCTCTTTCTCAAGCGCTTCACTCTCTTCCTCTGGAGAGGCAGCTTCCTTGAACACACTGGGCTCAATCAACTGTAAGATGTGTTTCAAGTCCTCGTTGTGGAAGATCCCCATGATGAGCAGGGTATAGAAAAGCTTGATGAGAGGTACAAAGAGGAATTCAGTGGTTCCCCCAACTGGGTCCCGGGCATGAAGGCTGCCCTGTTTAACAGCTTCTGTCAGCATCTGTATGGTTTTGGCCTTTAGGATGTCCAGCGGGAACTCGGGACTGTACTGGTAACATTCATTATTAATGCTTACAAAACTGGGGGAAGAAAATTGCATCCGTGGCCTGAGGGAGGTGCTGAGGCCAATTCCTGGGAGGCCATGCTTTTTGTTCTCATCAGGGAAAAGGGTGATGCTCTTTGTTTCCTCCGTCATGGGCACGATGAACTCACTGTTCATCATGAGCCTGGCAGTGGCATAGGAGCTAAGGTGGATGTCAATCAGCAGGTCATAGTAGCCAGCACGCAGCAAACCGGGCATGTACTTGTTTTCGATGGCATAGAGGAGCTGAGGTTCATCCACGTGGCTGCACAGGGCGTGGGCCACCCGGTGGTTCCCAAGAGCACAGACAGCAGAGTAGAGCCGGAGGGTGTGATAGTGGAATTTCAGCAGCTCTTCCTGCTCTGTCAATTCTAATATGTCGACAGACCTGTAGGAGAGAGAAGGATAGTGGCAGCAAGGTTAAGTGTGGAACTGTTGAAACAATTCTGAATTAGAGGAGAAATCTATGTACCTCATAGATTTCAAAAAGTTATGGAAACAGGCATTATCTTTTTTTTTTAGTTTTCTATGACATGTTTAATAGTAGCATAGTTTGGGTTTTTTCAATCAGTTCTAGATGTTTTACAAGTTTTCTTCCATGTAGAATTTTATGTTGAAAATTTCCAACCACTAGGGCTTGGACCTCCTTCATCTTCTATCATTCCAAGATTCTGGGCAACTCTTTTAGATATCTGAGTCTCAGTCTGAACCTGGGGACCCCCTCCTTTCAAAATTTGAGCACTCTTGGGAAAATCCTGAGTCTCCTTTTCCAACTTGGCAAATAGGTTCAAGAAGCCAGAAAACTTTGCCTTAGGCTATGTTGCCCACGTCTCTGACCTGTGATTAGCTATTAGCCTAACCTGTCAGAAGTGGGTGAACAGAGCTAATTGCTCTGACATAATTTACCTTCTGCTACATCCCTCACAGATCCAAACATACACCAGTGCCACTCTGGTTTCCACCAGGTATGTGCAGCTCATAAAACAAACATTATTAGGGACAGTTTCACTTAGGAAAGTTTCTACTCAGAATCTGAGTTTACACCGGCCTCTTAATTCAGGTCATTTTGCTTCTACCACATATCATGCCCTTTCAAAGCATAAAAACCTTAAAAATATGGCCAGAATATGCCTAAAGTAAAGTCATTCCTTCTAGAATAGAGTCAATCTTAGGAGAACATAATTCCTTTAGATGTGCCCATTTTTCTAAAACTATTTAAATTATATGGATTGTTCATGGGTGACGCTGTAACACTAAAAGTAGAAATGTGATATATTCATAATCAAAGGAATCATTCATTCATCTAGAAAGTTGTCCTTGGTGAGACTGTAATATGAGCTCATCAGAACAGAGGTTATTATATGTTTTGTTTATTAATATTCATCTAGCTCCTAGCATAATACACAGCAGGTGCTAAATAATTATTTGTGATTATTTGTTGTTAAGCTTTGTCACTATCCTTAGGTACACCATCATCCTGTCCGTGCCTATCCACTGTATCTATGCTTTCCAACCCACAGTCACTCTATCAAAAGCTACTGTAGCTTGATGGTGCAGGATTATTCCAGATCCCACCTCCCAAATTGCAGAATCAGAAGCTTCATACATTACAAACTAAAAGCCAATAATTACCTACCCCATGTACCACCTAGACTTCCAGGAAACCACACAACTGCTGGGCCCAGCTGCTGCCACCAATTCTTGGAAAGGTACAACTGAGCAAGCCACCTTCCTCAAAGTGTAGTGGACAATGATTCCCATGTCTTAGCTGTGCTCTTCAATCTCCCAAGAAGACAATTACCCCACCCCTCAGCCTGGGTGATGGTCAAAATATACAAATCAGTTCATTTTAGCAACACAGAATATCTGCAATCTAGGTTCTTATCGAAGAACACAACTTAGTCTACTGTCTAATCACTCTCAAAATGTCAGTTTCTAGAAACAACATATAAAGACTCTACAGTCTACACTCTTGCTGCCACTCCCAATCTACCCCCTAACTATGCACTTTATGATACATTGTTCTTTCTGTTAAAGCACCTCTCTTCCCTACTAGAACAAAGTCTTTTAAGGTAAGGGTCATATCTGTTTTGTTCACCATTTTATGTCCAGTGCCAGGAACACAGTGGGCACTAATACATATTTGTAGAATGAATGAATAAGAGAATTCTGAAGGATTTGTAGTCTATATCTCATAACTTGACACTTACATCAAGGCAAACCAAAGAATATAAACTCAACTAATTTAGTTTGTCTTCCTGTACCAACCTCTTGCAGCAATATTCATACTTTAACTATGGCTTTAACTGGGGGATAGCAAAAGAAATAACTCATTATTTTATCTGTCATAAGGACAATGCTAAATATATAATCTAACACCTTCTTAGCACATGCTGTAGATTATATTGTCATCAGTATATATTCTGCTTCTTCCTTCTTCCCTGCAGCTGGAGTAATCTTATCTGCCTTACTTACTTTGGGCTTCACCATATTACTTGGTTTGGTGAATAAAATGTAGGTGGACATAACATCTGCCACAAGCAAAAAGAAACTCTTAGAGGCCTAAAACTGTCTGTTAGCCCTCCCGTACATCCACCCTTGGCCATGGAAACTATATGTCCCAGATTGGGGCTGCCCCATTAGGCTGGATCTCAGGGTAAGAAGGCACATGGGCCACACCCACAGCCCATCCCCAGCCTGGAGCAGAGCGGCAGTGGACTCACCACCTCATGTAACATGAGCAAGAAATACATGTTTGTAAGCCACTGAGATTTTTGGGTTGTTATTGCAGTAACAGTCATTAGAACTCCTTATATGCTGTAACAGTTCTGAGTCAAGAAATTTCTTTCATAATTCAATATAGTTCTTTTATTCATCAAATATTACAAAGTATCTATTATGTATTAAGCACTGTGCACTGGTGTTATGATGGTGAACAATACAGACACAGTTCCTGCCCTAAGGGAGGTTACTGTCTAGTTGAGGAGGGAAACCCCCCCCAAATAAGTAAATTAAATTAGGAATTGTGATATGTGTCATGAAGAAAACAGAGGATTGACATACATCTACGACCATCCCAAATCTTAAAATATTATTCGCCATGTTATTGGGGCATGAGAAAAAGAGTCTAGTCAATCACTAGTTGGCACTTCCCTTTTGGAGTTTGAATTTTGAAACTCATCAGATTTTTCTTTGGCATCTAGGAAGCATGAAACCAATGTGGGACCTGACTTTACCAACCCCACAGAACGGTGAGGTATAAATGACTTAACCACGTAAGTCTTACCATATTAAGATTAATACAATCTTAAAATTCTCTGCTTAGTAGAGAGACAATATTTTCCCTCACAAAGAAAAATTCCTTCCCAAATGTTATGTTTCTTCTGGTTGCTGAGCAATTTTTTTTTAAATATCATCAGATGTAAAATTCCAAAAAAACTTTTCTCACGTAAAATAAGAAGTATAAAATTAAAATAAAATCTAATCATCTAAAGAGTACATTATAAATGATAATCTTTCAAATTATTTCACTTAAAAATATGTAAATAAATATTTAATGCATGAAAAACTTCACCTGGCCAGATTAATTTTTCTTTGGATTTCTTTTGTTTTAAAACAACTTTATTGAGATATAATTTACATACTATACAATTTACCTATTTAAAAAGTAAGTCAATGGTTTTAGTATATTAATGGAGTTGTGCAACCAGAACTATAAGCTAAGTTTAGACATTTTCATCACCCAAAAGAAATTCAGTATCCATTAGCAGTCACTCCTCTGGCCCATTGTCCCCCTCAACCCTAAGTAACCACTAATCTGCTTTTTCTCTTTAAAGATTGGCCTATTATGGACTTTTCATGTAAATGGAATCCTACAATATGTGTCCAATAACTACTTGAAAATTTAGTATAACGTTTTTAAGCTTCATCCATTTTGTAGCATGTATCAGAACTTCATTCCTTCTTATTGCCGAATAATATAGTATGGATATACCACTTTTTATTCATCCATGAATCAGTTGGTGGGCATCTGGATTGTTCTCACTTTTTGGCTACTATGAATAATGCTGCTATGAACATTTGTGGACAAGTGCTTATGTGGTCATGTTTTCATTTCTCTTGGGTATATTCCTAGGAGTGGAACTGATGAGCTGTATGGTAACTCTGTATTTAACGTTTTGAGGAACTGATAAACTGTTTCCCAAAGCACAGGGTAAATTATAAACGTATTACAGTAAAAGAAAAATGCCAAGCATGTCTAAATACACAAAAATGAACATAGCTTCTACTACCGTTTTAAGATTAAAGACTTACAATATAAGAAGGACAACAAACACATTTATCTTCACATTGTTTTCATGTAATGTCTTCACTTAGTTTGTGACTTGACTTCTTTTTTTTTTGGTGAGGAAGATTGTCCCTGAGCTAACATCTGTGCCAATCTTCCTCTATTTTGCTTGTGGGATGACGCCACAGCATGGCTTGATAAGCAGTATGTAGGTCCACGCCCGGGATTTGAATCCGCGAATCCCAGGCTGCCAAAGCAGAGGATGTAAACTTAACCACTACACCACTGGGCCGACCCATGACTTAACTTTTAAATGATATTTTGGGAGGGAAATCTTGGTCCCAAATGTAGAAACTTAGCTTCTTATTGATAATGAGCCTGCTAAAATGAATTCTCTGCAATTTAATTGGCTACAACATGGAAAAAATGAAAATCACAAAGCTACCTTTGAGTATTTATTGTACTTTATATTATTAGTATTACTATCTAGAATGCATATAAACTTCTTTCCAAAGCCCTCAGCATATCTTCACTATAATTTTCTTTCATTAATGTCTCTTAGTCTTCAGTTTTTCACATCTGTCAAACGAAGGGTTGAACTAAGGGATTTCTATGATTCTGTCTCTAATATCTTACAATTTTATGACACTGTATTACTCTAAGTTCTAAGTCAGAGTGCAGTTGTACTTGTCTGAATTTTTAGTTGCTGTTGGCATCATAAGAAAAACAAGATTGAGAAAAGAAACAATACACTATCATATTGCCTCTTCAACTGTAGAATAATAATTTTGTTTCAGCAATGAAGTGGTTGAGAAATAGATTTACACTTGGAATATGCAAAATATCTCCATTGCCACAAGAAATTACATATTTTTTAAACCTCATTTTTTTCCCCCAGCAACCCCCCTGAACCCCTGGGCAGCGGTCTAACGTGAAGGGTCCCAAAGTGACAGTAAGGGATATGCAGGGCTGACCTGTTCTCCTCTGGGATATGAAGAGACATGAACTGAAGAGGATCCAAACACTGCACCAGCCAGCCTTGGCGTTCACTTATTCGAGAGACATCTACCTTCAAGAATTGGTTGGGCATTCTGCTCCACAGGACATGTGATAGAAATTGTACGTGGAGACGTGGGGGGCACTGCGGCACTGGGTTTTTGTGCTCACTCTTGAATAGTCCCGCGGAGAGAGGCATCACATTCTAGGGGATGGGAAAGCAGAAAACAAATTCATTCATACCCCACCTTGGGGTTAATAATGACTAGAATTCTGCAAAGGAAAGAGACAATGGAAGTAAGACCCACTACAAGTCGAGCAGTCAATATGAGAAATAATAGAGATTGGGCTGAAGAGCTCCTAAAATGAAGAGCAGAGAAAATATTATGAGAGAAAATACCTAAAACTTCAGGGCAGGCAAACAGGTTTGGGGATGTTTCTTTCCCATATACTCTGTGGCACACTGAGAACGCAAGTGCAACCAAGTCTCACCCCAGAGACTTCATATTTCTTTACCAAGCTGGGCCCTCAGGGAAGTCCGGCACGTCTTTAGTCGCTTCCGGTGTCAAATGTCCTGAAGGAGAAGCCATATCCCCTTGTCTCTCTCTCTCTCATAGCCTGTCCTTTGTCACTCACCTCATCCCTCAACCACTCTCTCACTCATCGTCAGGTTTATCAGGTTTTAGTAACCAGAGTCTACTGGAGACAGCTCAACAGATACACCTGACTATCCCACACAAGAAAATAGAATTAATCAGGCATTAACTAACACACTTCATTTCTCCTCCACCTTCCTCCACCTCCAATATGTATCTTCAGCCATCCTAATTCCTTTCTAATTGAATTCCAATAACAGGGAAAGAGAAGTCTCTACTTTGCCAAAGCTTATTCGTTCGTTTAAGATCATGATACCACCTCCGCCTGTCTCTTCTGGACCATATAAAAATGATTATCTCATCTTTCTCATTATCTTCAGTCTCTCCCTCTCCACCAGAACCTTCTCAACTGCATTCTTTAGACTGCCTCATCCTCAAGCTACTTTCCTATTTTCTTCTGCTAATGGGGGAAAAAAAAAGCCAGGCACTGAGACCATATCAGTGAACAGAATAGACAAAATGCCTGTCCTCATACAACTTCCATATGTTTTATTAGAGATATAAAATAAATAAAATCAGTAAGTAAATTACATGGTATATTAGAAAAGAGATCATGAGGAGAAGGAAAAAAACCAGGATGGGGGAATCAGAATGTAGGACAGCAAAAACAAATAATAAATAGGATGGTCAGAACGGGTGTGGCTGAGAAGATGACAAGAAGAAGGACTATATGGATGTGCAGGGGAAGAAATTTCCACGCAGAGGGGACAGTCAATGCAAAGAACCTGAGAAGGAAGTTTGCCTGGCAAGTTTGAAGAAGTGCTGGAGGCCAGTGTGGCTGGAGTGGGGTGAAGGAGGCGAGAGAAGTAGGAGATGAAGTCAGAGAGGTATGGGATGTCACATCATTTAGGAGTTGAGAACCATTATGAGACCTCTGATTTTTACTCTCAGGGAAACAGGGTTTTGAGCAGTGGAATGACATGACCTGATTTATATTTTAAAGTAACGACAGCCCCTCAGATTGTTGTACGATAAACAGATGGGCAAGGATGAACTCAAGAAACTGCATTAGGATCCTGATGAGCAATGACGGTGTGGTGATCAGCAGGAGTGAGGGTGAGAGAAGAGAGAAGGTGGAGGATTTGCTGGGGATGGAACTGGGATGCGGAGGGTAAGCAAGAGAAGTCAAGGATGACTTCAAGGTTTTGGGCCTGAGCAACTAGATTTGTTATTAACTGACATGGGGAAGACTGTAGATGACGCAGGTTAGGAGGACGGGGTTGTGGTGGGCAGCAGTCCAGTTTTGGACATAGTCAATTTGAGACATCTATAAAACACCCAAATGGAAATGTCAAATAGGCCAATATACAAGTCAGGGTTCTGAGAAACTACCACTTTTTTGTCAAATTTTATTTTTTAAAAAAATCATCTAAACTTGCCGTCTCCTTTCTCTCACTTTCAATCTTGAATTCCCCATAATATGGCTTTTTCCGTCATTTTGCTGAAACTCGTTCTGGCAAGGTCACTAAAGCCCTCCTACTTAACAAAAGTCATGGATTCCTTCAGTCCATGTTATATTGGCCTTTTTGTGGCAGCTGAGAATCTCATTTTACAAAGGCAGAAACTGAGCTCACTTGGTTTAAGGAACATGTCCAAGGTCACTGAGCAAGCCTGGTAAAACTGTCTACTATATCCACCCAGACGGGTGCCTGGCAGCTCAATGTTTACAATTGCAAAATTCAGCTCAATTCCTTTTCCTGAATTTCAACAAGTTCTTCTGTTTATTGTTGTATTAGAATTCCCCAGCCGTCCAAACTAAAAAATTTAAATTAATCCTTGATTCTTCATTCTCTTTGAGTACCTGAATCCAATTCATCAACAAATCCTATTAATTCAATTCACTGTCAAATTCTACTAGTTTCTCCTCTAAAAGATCTTATCATTTATCACTCTCCATTACAACTGTCATAACTCTCATCATCTTCTTCCATGTAGACAGTATAAAATTATTGATACCTAATTGTTACTGCCTGCTCTCATTCTTGTGAGAATAGATATTTTTCCACATTACTACCAACATATTTTTCCAAAAAAGGTTTGCTTATATTCGATACTCTGCTTCACATTTCCAATGGACTACCACTGTCTATGTAATAGGTGCCAACTTTTTAGCATGGCATTCAAGGCCTTTTCAACTTGGACTTGGCCTATCTTCTATCCATATTAATCTCCAGTCACATCCTGGAAGGCATCCTTTGTTACAGTCACACTGAATTCTTGAACCTTCAGCACTTTCCCTCTTACACATTTTTGCTTTCTCTCACCCTGTCTAGAATGCCCTCTCCTAGTAAGTGTACTCTGAGATCTTCTATTCAACAGTTAAGAAGCAACCTAAATGTCACCTCTGCTTTTAGATTTACCTGATCCACCCCATCCAACTTAGCCTTTCTTTCATTTATGTTTCCAGAATACTCTATACATGCCACTTTTCTAGCATTTACCATAATGTAGCATAATTTCAAGTCCTTAATCCCATTCACTAGCTCATGTGAGTTTAATGATTACTAAGCTGTATGTAATTTGGCATTTTTGTTCTGTATAAGCCTAATTTTATTGAATAATATATTTATGATAACCAAAGAGAAACCCTTTCTAATTAATCATCTTACCCTAGTGACCTGAGATTACAGAATTCTAAAACATAGCTACCTTTATTTTAAAGAATAAATATGTGATTAACATCAGTACTAATAAAATATTGAATTCATTTAAGAAGAAGTAAATGTTATTCCCTAATAGAAAATAACCCAAATATAATATCAGGAATACGTCTTTCTTACCTTTATTCTTCCCAATTCAAACTGAAAAACATTGGGACTTGTAGCTTGCGCAAAAACTGCAGGAAATAATTTTGTACTTGGCTCCACCTTAAACAAATGAATTTAATAATTTTAATAAAGGAAGGAACACAAAGAAAAATATTTTTTTCACAACAACTAAAGAACACTTTATGGAAGGAGAACGGAGACTTTTCCTTCCTGTCATATGGATATCCTCTTTCAATAATTATTTGGATTATTTCATTTCATTACTATGCGAACATTTTTGGAGGAATGTACTGTATACTCTGAGGAGCTACGGCACTGCTATTATTCAAACAGAAGTGACAATATATAATTAACTCATTTCTGTTTTCATTTTCTTCTAATTTCTAGTTTACTTTCTGATCTTACAAAATGTGTTTTTCTCTAAAAGAGAAAAAAAGGTTTTCCCCCCTAGAAGCACGATACCATCACTGACGCCGTACCTGGTAGTATGTGCTCAATTCTTTGCCATTGGCAGTGAATGTGAGCAGCCCGCTGGCAGCGTCCACCACACAGCCGATCTCCAGTCCGTTATTATTGCGGCCTTGCCCGGGGCTCATGCTCTCACCCGCACACACCATATAGCAGTTGCTGCGCTTGATGCTGAATTGCAAAAAAACATTTTTATCTTTGTACAACCACAGGTCTAATAGAAAGCACGTATGTCTTGCAAACTAAACCTAAATTATGCTGCGCAAGCAACAAGCTCATGCTGTAATGGGAGAGGTGCACAATGGGCCCGGTTCTGTGATTCTGAGCAAAAACTCCACTGACTTCGGTGGACATTCTGAATCAGGTCTTACACGTCTCTAAATTTCACACCTAATGAGACAGGTCAACAAGTTGGAACCCAGTAAGAACTGACCTGCACCTTCCCTCCAAAAACTCAAACCAAACTGGACCTTTTTCTGAGGTTCAAAAAAGTTTAACTATTTAATAATCATCCAAATTTGTCATTTTCATTCTCATAGGTTTTTCTTAACTACTTGTTCTGAGATAAGAAGTAATTGTTTCCAAACACTATCAAAGTCCTTGGGCAAATTCTACACGAGCCATCAGTGATTCAATGCATTTAAAATTTGGCTAAAATTATGCCCCTTTATGGACAATTCCCAGTGATCTGTTATGAGAGACAGACGTAGTAGAATGTGCACAAAATCAGTGATATTAACAACAAACCCCTGCCTGAGTTTCACTCTCACCAAAATCTTTTCCAGAGATGGTAATAAACTTAAGTGATTTGAGCTTTGCCTCCTTCCCCTTCCCTGCCACTATATAGCGAACATGTTAATCAGACCAGCAAAAAAGGCCAAAGGCAGGCAAGTAGAAAGAAAAGAACAAGACGGCGGAGATAAGTCAGTTTCTGAATAATCAAAAGTCGCTGTGTTTCTTTGCACTGCTTACATAAGATTCAACAATCTTTCCCTGGCTTCTATTTCCTACATCAAAATCATCTATCAGGTATCCCATCCTTATACTGAGTTATTTCCTTATATTGTTGCCATCTCTGAAAATCAAATATGTCCCCCAAGAACACTCCTGGAGACAAGCCGTTTTGGGCCCCCCTACTGATGTAAAGCACACTTCATTGGAGATTTTTGCTAGGCCCACCATCTCAAGTGCTAAGTTCACTGCGTTTCAAGTACTAAAATCTGAAAGCAGTAGACTGAGCTTCCGGTCACCAAAAATGATGCTGCAGGTATAAAAGAAAAGCAACGTATGGAGGACTCTCTCTATGAGACCTGTCACAGCAGATCAGAGAGGATGCATGGGCACAAAAGGTAGATGCAAATGGTCAGATCTTCTCTTGACTTACTCTGCAAGGAAGATAGCCTTCTTCACTTTTTGGAAGATTTGGTTTGAGTTTGGTTTGTTTTACAAATGAAAAAGGATGGCACAGAAAGTGTAACTGACTTACCCAAAGTCACACAGCGAGTCAATGGCAAAGCTGAGGAAAGAACCCACTACTCCTCAGTCTGAGTTTAAATGTGTCCCCCTGGCCTAAACTACTAGCCCACATTGTCTTCACATTTTCTCCCCACCACATAACCAGTTCCCAAGAAAAACATCACACCATATGCTAAATGCCTCACATTCACCCAACTCTAAACCCTAAAACAAAGGTTAAATTTTGGTAACCCAAGCTGTTAGTCAGGTACAGTGTCAACTGAAGGAATATCTGATTATTATCCCAAAAGGATGCTACTCTTACTCTATAATGTTTTTCACTTTTAATATATTCATATTCTTTACTGGACTGTGTATGAGTAACAAAAGGTCACCGACATTAATGATTTGATGATATTGTTCCTACAAATAGAATATTATCCTGGGCATGAAATCCAAGAAAAAAATTCCCATGTTTATCAACATTTTTATCAGATGTCATTAATGTAAAAAATTGAGGAAAACCAACCTTTCATGCACTTTTCCTTTTTCATCTCCTAGAGTAACGGTTACTGTACGAACTCTGTCCAAGTCAAAGCCTGTATCATACTGATGGAAATCGGAGGTAATCCAGCCCACCCAGACGTTAGCAGGTTCTTGTCCAGGAAAGATTCTCACTGAGTAATAGTACTGTCAAGATAGCAACACCAAGTATTGGCAAAGAAGAAACAAAACTTTGATTTGCAATGTCTTCGAATTGACTAATATATGTCCTTGTTTAAAATCATTTGGCTTAATTAAAATGTTGTAGGCTCAAAGGACTGACCCTGCAAAATAAGAAAAGTCTTAAAACACAGAGCCTGAGTTAAATCAGAGATAATGGGAAAAAGAGAAAAGACTCTGAGAAAACATGCTAAATGATTTGAGGCTTTTTATACTCCCAAGTATGTAAGTATCTTTGTTGTATGTACACATATAACATACATACCATATGTATGGGTACACATACAGTATATTTATGTAATAAAATCATCATTCCACTAGGCAGGTAAGCTTCATATTCTTTAAGCTTACACAAGTACACTAATCCATGCTAGAGTTTTTTACCTGTCACCCACCTCTTTGAATATGCTTTGTCTTTCCTATCGATAACATGTCATATTTTGACACCTTAAAATCACTTTGAAATAGTTCAGATCTCATACGTGAAAATCAAGTTTAAACATGGGGGCACTCTACAAGGAACACAACTATATATTTTTTTCCATTTGGTGTTTTAGGAGAAATTGTTTTGAAAATTTTGAATGGTAGACAGCAAAACTTGACCTCTACCAAAGTATGATAAATGATCTTTTAGACATTTCACTAAGACGAAGGAAATGATATGTACTTGGAAAAACCAAGTGGAAAATTAAAATTTTGCCAAGAAACAGGATAATAAAGGTACTGTTAAGGACATTTTCCCCAAAATAGCTCTCTTATTGCATAATATACATCAGAATATACATATATTTTTCAATTTTTCTGTCCCCAAAATATAAGCAAGTAATTATTTAAAAAATAAGCCTGCTAAATATGATGAATCAAAGTGAACTACTTGAAATGTAAAGCATAATAATTGACCAATAGAGATAAATGACAAAAGCTGTAACGTCATACCGTGGACGTTTGCATCAAGTACTCATAGTCATCTCGATCATCCGCAAGGACATCTTCAGTGAGTCTTGCAGAATGGCTTGTGCTATAATCTGGCTTTGTTCTTCTAAGCAAAAATCTGAAATAGAAGACTAGGAATAAGCCACATTAAAATGTTCTGCCTACCTCAAACATGAACATATAATCAATTTAGTAGAGTGGTTCTCAACTAGGGTGATTTTGCTCTCCAAGGGACATCTGGCAATATCTGCAGATATTTTTGGTTGCCACGATTGGGGGCTGGGGATGTGCACTGGCATCTAGTGCGTGGAGGCCAGGGATACTGCTAAACATCCTTCAATGCACAAGGCAGACTCTTACAACAAATAATTATCCAACCCACAGTGTCAATAGTGCTGAGGCTGAGAAATTCAGATTTAGTGCAAGAAAGGATGCTAAAATAATTTGCCTTCTTGTCCATAAAAAGATACTATTTAGAGATAATACTCTAAGTTTCAACTGAGAAAGTAAATATAGACATCTAAAAAACTAAATCTTGGGAGAAAATACTTATAAATCATATATTTAAGAAGGGGTTGATATCCAGAACATATAAAGAACTCCTACAACTCAGCAACAAAAAAGCAAAGAACTTGACTAGACATTTATTTCTACAAAAATGATACACAAATGACCAATGAGCATATGAAAACATGCTCAAGGGCTGGCCCCGTGGCTTAGCGGCTGCGTGCGTGCGCTCCGCTACTGGCGGCCCTGGTTTGGATCCCGGGCACGCACTGACGCACCGCTTCTCTGGCCATACTAGAAGGATGTGCAACTATGACATACAACTATCTATTGGGGCTTCCGGGGGAAAAAAAAAGGAGGAGGATTGGCAATAGATGTTAGCTCAGAGCCGGTCTTCCTCAGCAAAAAGAGGAGGATTAGCACGGATGTTAGCTCAGGGCTGATCTTCCTCACAAAAACAAAAACAAAAACAAAAACAAAACAAAACATGCTCAACATCACTAATCATCAGGGAAATGCAAATCAAAATAATGAGATGTCATTTCATACCCATTAGGATAACTACTATCAAAAAACCAGAAAGTAACAAGAGTTGACAAGGATGTGGAGAAATTGGAACCCTTGTGCAGTGTTGGTAGGACTGTAAAATGGTGCAACTGCTATATAAAACAATATGAAGTTTCCTCAAAAATTGAAATAGAGAACTACCAGTGATCCCACTTCTGGGTATATGTCCAAAAGAACTGAAAGTAGGGTCTTGAAAAGATATTTGCACACCCATGTTCATAACAGCACTATTCACAATAGCCAAGAGGTGAAATCAACCTAAATGTCCATCAGCCGATAAATGGGTAAATAAAATGTAGAGTATATACACACAATAGAATATTATTCAGCCTTGAAAAGGAAGGGAATTCTGACACATGCTACAACATGTATGAACTTGGAGAACATTATGCTAAGTGAGATAAGTCAGTCACAAAAAGACAAATAACGTATGATTCCACTTATGTGAGGTATCTAAAGTAGTCAAATTTATAGAAACAAAAAGTAGAATGGTGATTACCAGGGGCTCAGGGAGGTAGAAAAGGAGAGTTGTTTAATGGGTATAGAGTTTCAGTTTTGCAGGATGAAAAAGTTCGAGAAATCTGTTTCAAAACAACGTAAATATACTTAGCACTACTGAACTGTACACCTAAAAATGGCTAAGATGGTAAATTTTATGTGTTTTTTACCACAAGTAAAAAAATGCATAAAAAAAAGTAACTCTTGGGATAGATTATGTCAGTAGTAACAAACTAGATGACAAATAGGTTGCTTTATTGCCCCTCGTAGAATCCTTTGTATACAGAAGGAGAAAGAACAAATTGACATTGGGAAATCATTTACCCTCTATTACCCTCTACTGAAACCCTCCCCACATAATAATTACATAGTTAAAATCATTTTGCATACGTCAGTGACCTTTGTTTCAGACGAGAGGGCTTTTCCTGAGCATAATCTTTGTGGTTATTAAACTCTGGTTTTGTAGCCTCTTTGTCTTTGTCAACACGATCGGGCACCAGATGGCCATGAGCTGTCTTCATTAGAACCTCAAAGTCAGAATCTGCATCATAATCCTCCAAATCATTCTTGGGACCGAAGAGGCCGGCACCGGGGATCCCTCCCGCCGGAGTCTTGGAGAAGACCTCTGCACACTCGATTGGCATGCTCAGGCGATAAAACATGATATCAGTGCTGCTGTTCTGAGAACCAAAGGATTTCTGGGTGACCTTCAAACATGGGGAGCTGTCTATGGTGCCATCTATCCTGGTCACCTAGCAAATGAAGAAACAATAGTTCAAATTCTAATCATCATTGTTGATTTCCCAGTTACAAAGATCACTAACGCACATCACATCTCTAAAACCCCAAACACAGCCCACACTTGGCATAATTTTGTAAATGAGAAGACTAAACATAGGGAGGACTGTGTTATAGATATACTCATAGTTCTGCTTCTAACTCAGAAGATGATTTGGGAAATTCATGTTATAATTGTAAATATTCAGATTGAGCCTGACATTGCCTATATAAAAAGAGAATTAATTATTGTGGATCAGTCTAAGCAGCTATTCATAAAGCACATAAAGCCAGAGGGTAATCCTATGCTTAGATTCCACTATTATGTAACACACCAGGGCCACCATTTTCAGTAAGTGACAATAATTGTCCAAGTAGGAGCTCCCACATGTAAAAATATTCCACTCCTGGGTTTTGGCAATGGTCTGATTTTTAAAGAAAAAGCAAACCTCAATGTGCTCATGGTTTGATGGAACTTGGAGAAATTGAGGCAGCCTCTTGCTTAGCCACATGGTAATATCCCTGTTTGTATTAACAGCAAATGGTTCATAGCCCTCTTGTAAGCCACAGATGGTGAAATATTTCAAGGTGCTGACATCCTTTCCAAAGTTCATCCTGCCTACTTGAGCCACACCAAGGCTACATACAGGTATGAATCCTGTGAAGAAAAAGAAAAACGAAATCTTCAGTATCATTAGTATAAGACCTCGTTAGCATGGAACTACCCAAGTATTGCTCCAGAACTCTTACCTTGTGAGAGACTCCACATTAAGGTGAACACAGTAGCGCAATAAAGAGACCACTGACACGAAGCACTAAAAGTTAAGGGTCAGAAGACCGGGATTTGATCTTAGCAACATAATATAGTAAAAGTGGCCCCTTCTTTCACCCTGGACTTCTTCTGTAAAATGAGATAACTGCTAAGCAGCCAGTAGTCCTCTAGAGATCATCAGATGTCCAACCATAGAAGGTGATCCCCGTCCCACAGCCTCCTAGCTCAGGACGGCATGGGACTCTCTTCTAGAGAAAAAGTGAGAAAGCAGCAGGTGCCAAGTGCATTGCCATTCCATCCAGCTAAAGAGCTTGAAATGTACAAACACCAAACACAATCTGAGATATAGATGTCTTCAAATATAACTCAGAGAAAAAAGGATCAGAGGGCACATTTTTAAAAGTTTTCACTCACTGATAGCTGCCTTTTTTTGTGTGTGTGAGGAAGATCCGCCCTAAGCTAACATCTGCCAATGCTCCTCTTCTTGCTGAGGAAGACCGGCCCTGGGCTAACATCCGTTCCCATCTTCCTCTACTGATAGCTGCTTTTGATCTTTGAAGAGAATGTTGCCTCGTTTTTCTGGGATACACTAGATCTAAGCAGGAAAAAAATACATAAATAAATAAATATTTGGAAGAAGTTACTGAAATCCTACCGAAATTCCTCTATCTGTCCCTTTTCCTTTCAGGTCACTACTATTGTAGATTAAGCAGGGTAATGCACACCTAACCTAAATATTAAGATTTGAAATCAAAGAATAAGTTAAAGTCAACAAGAATCTATATCAAAAGCAATAGCAATGAACAACAGATGAAAAAGACAAAATACTTCATAAGCTAGTCTTATGTGTGGCAAGATTAGCAAACCTTTCTACTATTGAATAAAAAGAGGAAACTATATCAATTCTGTCATTTTTTTTAGTTCTTTGGAATCAATTGTCTTTGGCAAAGGGATGAGATAACATTTTTTGGTGGGAGAAGGGAATGTTTATATACTCTTCATTTCTTTCCATAATGTTTTAAACAAAAAAAAGTTCAAGCAGTCAGCACAATAAACAAGGTCAGTATTGGAATGCAGACTACAAATTAGAGGATCTAACTTACAGTTCAAAAAAGCAATGGATCCTAAGAATAAGCTAACAATTTTCTACCATCATGACTCATACTTTTTCCGTTGTTGAAATTAGTGGCAGTAAAAGCAATATATAACCCTCAAAATAGCACAAGACGATAAAAATTACATCCAATAATTCACAATGATTTTACCCAGTTTGTATTCATCAATATATATTCAAATAAATGGTTGCATAACAGTGTTACCAACCAGGAAGCAAGAACACATCCAGCTGTGTTCAAGGAAGTGTGAATGATGAGTTTCTAGTTAAAACTAAAAACCACAGCTGTGCCTGCAGCTGTCACAGCTCTTGAAGCAGCAGTCAAGGAAAGTTGTTTTAAATAACTGTTCCCAAAGGAATCAAAGAAAATAACTGGATAAACACAATAGACTCAAGACAGCTTGAACTACATTTGCACAAATTGGCAAATCTAAGGGATTTGGATAGAAACTAGAGGATACCAAGATAGAAATATCTTCTTAGATGGTAAACATTTCTTTCTTTCTAACCACTTTATATGTAGAGAGAGTTTCTACCCTATAAATGAAGTTATTGGATACCTATAAATACCTGCATAGTAGATCTTTGGGTGTTTGTTATATTCATATCTGAACTTTTCTGTATGTTTGAAATACTTTCATTTAAAAAATCAAGTAACTGGTGTTATGCACAAAGATTAATGTCCTAAATTGTTCACTATGGCTGTGTTTACAATGACAGAATATTGTTTTGACAATAAATACGTGTTTTTTTTCATGAGATGGAATACTATTTAGCCTTTGAAAATCTGGTTTTCAAAGGTTCATTAATATATAGAAAAATATTCACAGTAACTAGTATTTCAAGAAAGAAAGATGTAACACGCTATTTATTTTTAAAGATAGGAAAACACCAGAAGGTTCTTTATCAAAAAAATTTCAAAGTGGTGGGACTTTTAACTCTTTTAGTTCTCTCTTTCTATATCTCTCAATTTAACAAATTTTCTCCAATGAATATGTATTTTATTATGAAAACAAGTGACAACCTTTGTAACAATAAAATATTCATTTAATAAAATGGGATATACCTACGTGATTCTCATATAGAAATGTATAAGAGTGATCTGGTTTATATAAAATGGTTCAAACAACACATTCTTCAAGTTGTTAAAGTTCAAATTTTCAATGCTAGGGAATGTTTGGTGAGTTCAATACCAGAAATCTTGCTAATTTGATCTTTGGAAAGTTATTTAAATTCTCTAAGCTTTAATCCTTTCTTCTGTAACCTCTACCCCAAAGGGTATGGTTTTAAAGATGAGCCACTGTATTGTGCCTAACATGGATGCTCACTCAACTAAATTTAAAATGGAAAAAACAAGGTAAAATAAACTAAATATCCACAATAAGAGAATGATTAATCATGATACTACACAAGATTAAATACGTGCAGTCATTAAAAATCATGTTTAGGCCTCACCAAAATAAAACCATAGAGAGAGATGAAACTCATACGGAAAAATACAAACAATTGGTGATTCCAGGTGAAGGGTATACAGGTGTTCACTGTACTATTCTTGCACTTTTCTGAAGAGCTGACATTTCTCAAAATATAAAGTTAGTAAAAAATAAAACTCAAAAGTTATGTTTAAAATGTTTTTATGCCTTGGCACATTTTTAATATTAACTCAAAAAGGTGGCAACAGAAAATTATTTTTACATCTTAATTCTTTAAATGGGAAAAAATACATTAGAAGTCCAATTTCTCTCTGGGTAGTGGGAATATATATAATTTTCAACCATTTTCAATATACTCCTTTGTATTTTCCAAATGTTCGATAAGAATTTATTACTTTTATGATAAATAAATAGATATAATTTTTCATTAGTTTATAGCAGTTATATATTTATAGATGGTATTCTTATTGCTTTATTGTTTTCATCCCATTTAAAGGCTGGTCTAGTGGTTAAGATTCCATGCTCTCACTTGCCTCCACCAGGGCTCATTTCCCTTTCAGGGAACCACACCACCCGTCTGTCGGTTGTCACACTGTGGCGGCTGTGTGTAGCTGTGATGCTGAAAGTTATGCCACTGGTATTTTAGATACCAGCAGGGTCACCCACGGTGGACAGGTTTGAGTGGAGCTTCTAGACTAAGGCAGACTAGGAAAAAGGACCCGGCCACCCACTTCTGAAAAATTGGCCATGAAAAACCTGTGAATAGCAGTGGAGCACTGTCTGATACAACACCAGAAGGTGAGAGGATGGCACAAAAAGACCCGGAAGGGTTCCACTCTGCTGTCCACAGCGTCACTAGGAGTGGGAATGACTGGACAGCACGAACAATAACAAAGCAGTTATTTATGAAAGTATATTCATAAGTAGAAATTAGCACACTTTTTCTCTTCCTAATTTAAATGAAGTAGAACTTAACAAAAATTCAATCATATTCTGACTTCTAAGATGCAGTTTTAATAACTGCTATGATAATAAAACAACCAATATTTCTAAAAACTGTACTTCTTAAATTAGCATATCCACAGCAGAAACGACTAGATGGCAATGCTGTCAGAGAAGACAGAGTGGAGAAAAACTGCAGGTACTATTCAGTCACCACACGGCAAAAGGGCCAGGCCTCAATCACTTCCATTTTGCCAGTACTTGGCAAAGTGCCCTGCAAATAAAGGCACTGATGACAGATGACACACCCACCACACAGGGCTCCCTTACAGTATGTTCCCTGAGTGTTTACCCAATGCTGCATCTCAGTGAACATTAACCATCACCCAGTGAGACAGGAATCATCATTATCATTTTCCAGACAAGGCAACCAAAGGCTTAGCTTAAATCACTTGCTATCACAGATAAGTGGCCAGAAAAGAAACCCAGTCTGCCAGATCCCAAGGTCCACACTTTAAATCAGGGCTGTAAATGACCAGATAGCAGAGATCTGGCAAAAGAGGCCACAGACAGTATGTAAATGAATGAACGTGGCTGCGTTCCAATAAAACTTTATTTACAAAAACAGGTGGCAGGCTGGATTTGGCGCTCAGGCCTCAGTTTGCCAACTCCTGCTCTAAGTTACTACAATATCGTCTCCACACAGTATCAAGTCCCTCCATTCAGCACATTTTAATGAACACCTACCATGTGCCAAGCACTGTTCTAGGCACTGAGGATACAGCTGTGAACAGAATGAAAAACAGTCCCTGACTTTCTCGCAGTTACCGTTGTATAGGGAAGACAGATAATAAGTAAATAAATGAACAGTTACCATATGCAAAATATAATGCCAGGAAATGATAAATGTTATCAAGATGGCCTGAATGTGTGCCATAAATTAAACAAAATGGGTTGATAAATGATATCACTCTTAATAACTGTTCCACAGCAAAACATGATCATCGAGGTTCAATGCTTTATTAGTATGAGGTAGGATGAACACACAAATACTCCAACACAATAAAACAGATTCCCATGAATTCATGCATACACCCCGGCATACATAAAACTTCTGTCCTACCTTCCTGTCCTTTGTGCTCTTGATCTTCTATTCCAGTTACCTTAACTGACACCCTGCAAACAACAAAGCCCGATGATATCAGACCCTCCCTAACTCTTTACAAATCTGTTAAAACAGTAGCTACAACTTATGGCTCAACTGCTTCCTCCAACAAAAGACAGATGGCTTCAGCAAATTTTAACTTTCTCCGTTGATGAGCCTCCCTGCTCCAGAGCGAGGGGTGTGTGATGAGCATACGAGTCCAGCAAAGGAACTGGCAGTCACAGGGATGCAG